GTCGAAACGTTGTAAATTTGCTGTTATATTAAAGTTTTTCTTCATTACCCATTCAAGCCGTCTCCAGCCATTATTAGTCTCAAAGTGGGTTCCTCGTCATCGAATTTGGTTGAAGTATGTTCTATGAAACCTTCTAATGAAAATAGCTTGTTTCATGAATGTTTTCATGAAGAAAACTAAAACTAAATTAATTATTTTGTAAAATAATAACTTACTTCCCTACAAATAAGTACAGTATATGGGTTGTTATTTCTCTCTTTTTCTTATTATCTGTATTATAATCAGTTTGAATTCTAAAAGGATGAGTCTTTTTGGATAATCATTTCTGGAAAATCTTCCGAGCTATCTGACAAGTATGGAACAAATGTAATCTCCAAAATGGAAAATATATATATATATATGAAACTGTTTTTATGATACAGTATATAGTGATATAAAAGGAATGAATTTTAAATGTCTTAAATGAGTATTAATGTATAAATAAAGCAGTGACTGAATGGCAAATAAATACAAGAAATAATAATTTCCATATGGTTGTAGGAATATATCTCCTTCAACAAGCGAAACAAGTAGGCATAAATCAAGTGTTACATTAAAACTTAAGGGATAATCTTTCACAAATTTAAATAATATTAACTTTTACTCAGAACACACTACCTACTTAGAGTGAAACTGAAAATCAACCTGTTAATTAGTATAGCTAATTCAGTTTATTTTTTCCTACATTCTTATTTATCAAGATTAGGATCCATTGTGTTATCAGTTGGATAATCTCACTCTTAATGATACTTTTGGCCATGATTCCAGTAATAATGCATGATATTCATCTAATTTGAAGACTTAGTTTACTCCTAAATATATACATGTTAAACTAACAATACAAAACCATATCTATAATATAAATGTAATAATCTTATACATATTGCGAACCATGGTGTCTGTCTCCCTTTATGGTGGCTGCTACTTGTTCTGCGTTTGAATAGCTGAGCATGCAGGCAAAGCTCAACATTCGTTTTTTAAATGAGGGGACAACAGGCATGAATAATGTTGATGGCAAATTTTATTTCAAAAACAGGATATTCTACACTATCATTCACATATTAAAATGTGACATAACTTAAAGAATAAAAATTTAGATTTACTGTATATTATTGTTGAATGTCTCTTAGCATGACTGAAATGTTCAACAATTACTTTACTTGGTGGGTGGTATAAGTAGCTCAGAACTTTGGCTCTGAGTGAAACCAAGAATGTAACACAATTAACCTTTTTAAAGTTCATGAAATAATTTAAATTGATAGGTTAACTTAAAATTTTCCCATCACTGGGGATGGACACTTTCTCTTGTAATAAATAAAATAAAGAATCAATACACTTAGATCTAACTGCAACTGTTAATGAAATTAGCAATAAAAAAAAAATATTTCATTTAGGAAACACACAAACACTAGTTAACGGGCTCAAGTTTTGTGGCAGATTTAATGTTTGTTGAAAGTGTAACAACAGTAAACTTCCCCAAAATATTCCTGTGGCCAATGAGAACCTATTAAACAACTCTGACACTTTAACTTAGATGATTACAATACATGTTACTATCAAGGTATGGAGTTAAATAGCAGAACATTACCAAGAGTATAGCCAAAAACTGATTTTAATAGCATTCCCTTTATAGATCAACATTCAGGTAATAATAGTATTGGATTCGTAGAATGAGTCAAATCTAGTTTTAGAGTTATATAGTCTCAAACCAACTTTTGATATGAAAATGAGTAAAGTTGTGCTTTAAACAAAATGTGCATAGTCTCTAACATTGATCTAACTGGACCAATAACAGGTGATAGAACTCCAGTATTCATCTGATCAGAGTATGTGATTTCTAATACAATATGAGCAAACATTAATCATAGACTAATTTTGCTTTATTTTCTTTAATAAGATTTAAAAGCATTATGGACTTAAGTGGTGGTGATTTTAATTTTTAAAATATGCCTCATTTGACTATGAAATGTACACAGTTACAGGTAATGAGAAAATTTATTGAATCACTGTTTCATTAGTTGTATTTCCTATGAATTAATTTCAAATAAGTTTGAATAATTTTTAGTGACTGGTTTCAAAATATTCTTTTAGGTCAATAATTTCAGTCACTATCAAGGATGACTTGGAAGTTCAGATGGTATCATATGTTTGTTTTTGCTTTTTTTTTCTGATGAGACTGACAACCACTACAGTAGCCTAAATAATCTGTAACATTTTAATTCTCTGTTGGAACTTTATAGTTATACAATGCAAAAAAACAACAACTGGGGTTCAATTCCTCACAGTAGACATAATGCAGATAGTACTTTGAGTAACAACAATAACATTAACCTTCTCACCAATCCTTGACCATGTCTTTTCACTAATGTTTCAACTTAATGCCATAGAATAGCCTAACAACTGCATGTATTTTAAATATCTTGTCCATATGTCCACCCTTTAACTTTATAATTTAGTAATTTCAATAATAAAGTCAAAATGTAAACTTTGCAGTAGTAATGTCAGAAATAAAACAGTCGATATATGTTTACTAATGGTTGCAATATATGTGACTGATAACATTATATAATAATTTGGTTATTATAGTATTTAATTTCAAGTAAAGAAAATTACAACAGATTATTAATTTGTTTTTACTGCACTACTAATTTACTGTGAAATAGTTATTTTATAGACAAAGCCTCCTGTTAAAGCACCCCTAATTAAAACTGAAATTATGTGCTTAATCTCTCAATATGTTCAACTGGCACAACTTTTTTTAGTATAAAATGTCAGTAGGTATGGTAAAAAATGTTTAAACAGTATGAACTTTATAAATAAAGCAAATAAAATAAACATATTTAAATTCATTATTATTTAGCTTGTTTTAAGCTTTTATGAGTATAATTATACTTTAAGAAGAAAGTAGGAATTGAAAATTTTGTCAACTCTAGAAAAATAAGTCAAATTATTTTAATCATTTTTAAATGTATCAGAGTTATTTTATAGTGTAGCACACCAGTGTAAACATATACCAGCAGGAGAGAGATATCAGCAATTATTATTAAACCATAAATACAAACTTATCTCTGTGTGTGTTTAGACTGTCATGAAAAAAAATAATATATGTATATATATATATATTTATTGTTGTTCCCTTTTTTCTTCTCCAGATTAATTTCATTGTTCCTCCTTCACCAATTGAGAGGATTTGTATCTCTTTCATTCATTTTTCTTTGGAAGCTGCAGTGTATTTTTTTCCAAGATCTGACAGCAAGTTGATCAGTGAAGTAGTTAGTGTAATACCAAGGTATTTCGAAATTAATTCCACGTTTTTGGAAAAAATGTATCCGATGAATATGTCATTTCCAATAGCTAGAAGACTTGAAAATCTTAAGGTATGTTTTACAGTTTATCTATAATGCAAGAAAATTTTGTAAGCTGGAAATTTACTTATTTTATGTTGCTTCATATAATTGAAGCTTTTAGAGCAAAGTATCATGGTAACATATCAAGATATGACATTTCAAGATTCTCTCATACTCGTTCATATTTAAAACTAATTTTATTTAGGTCCAAAAATATGATTTTCATTACTACATTTTACCACTGTTTTATAAATTAAATACCATGTCTGTCATTAACAATAGTGAATCACTTGCTAGACCTCTTCATAAATATTACTATCCATAACTTACCAGACCAGCTACTGTAATCAAACTAAAGCTTCCAAGTTCAGCAATAGAAGATAGCCAACCTGACATATATTTTATTTACCAGTTCATTTACAACTATAAAATAATTTATAGCCAGTTAAATATCTAATCCCTAGCCAACTTAAATTAGTTAATGTAGCTCATATCAAGATAACTTTTCTGAGCTGCTTAAATAAATTCTGACCCAAGATTACAGTAGTAGCTTCTGATTATAAAATTTCAATGAATGTGTCTTTTCTAGTTGTCAGATAAGTTTAGTTAAAACTCTTAATGTTTTCATTAGCAACTAATAATGTTTGTGAATAGTTTATTAGTAACTCATGAACATGATGGGTATAGCACACACTACTCAGGAGAAACTATAAATGTTTGTGCTCAACAATCCCATTATAATAAAAGTCATTAATGTCCCTTTGTTCTTTTGCCATTGGTTAAAGCAAAACAATTATTATTTGGGGTCAGAACAATTGTAGAGCACACATGGGGCACTTTACTCAGAAATACAGTAGTGGAGGAGACAAAACCATGATGGAAGAGAAAGAAACATCTGTTGAGGATGACATTAAAACAGATATATTTTCTGAGGTTGATACTTATCATAAAAGCAACTTGAAGAAATGAAATAACTATGGTGATTTGGAAGTAGACTTGTAATGCAAAAACACATACTGAAGAAAAAAAAAGGTTTTTACAAGAGAAATACTTGATTTGACACATATTTGCAGGCATTTGTTGATGACATAAATACAGATTCATATATGGCAACTTATAAGGTGATATTGGATAGAAATACACTTGTGTTTGCCCTTATGGCTGCACTTGTAAGAAGTCATCTAACATGGCTAATTTCTGTGCTCAAGCTAGGTTGCCATTTTGAGGTCAGTTGGATATGACATTGCACAAGTAACAGTTTACTTTTTCAGCTCAAAGAGCTGTACTTATAGCTCAGTTTTGTCCTATGTAGCTGCACTTAATGAATGCTGTTATTTTGTGGATAACTATTATTTACATTGAAATTAAGGGTGAAACACACAAATTATTATCTGAATATTACTTGAATAGTTATCATAATCATTAAAGTAAAGCCTTAATTAATTCATCAGGACTAAAACTCTATTTAAAACTCAAATTACTTTTATTCAAATAATCAAACTTAAAAGGTTTTCCAGAAGTAAAAGTTAATTTATTATTTACTTTTCAGTATAACTTTTCTTGCAGTTAAAATATAATGAGAAGTTTGAGAATTAAATGTCAATTATTCATTGACTTGGTTCATTACTGCCAAAATTTCATATAGTATGTGTGTAAAAATAACAATACATAATCTATCAATAATTTCAATAAAATTCTGGCCAAATTAAGCATGATCTCTTATTAGGTAGTCTTGTGATAAAAAGCCAGTCATGTGTTTTTTCTTTAATTTTATAAAATGAGCATAGACTGTATTGATCAGGTACATTTTTTACAAACTTATTTAGTAATGTAATACATAGAATTTATAATTTAGTGTATCAGTGTAGAGGGTTTTCCACATTGACCCTTTTAACATAGCTAGTTTTATAATTATAACATGCTCATCACATTGAAATCAGGGTTTCAACCATAAGTTTGTATTTTTCTTCTCTGAATTATTAATTTTGTATGATAACTTGAGTCATTAAAAGCTAGAAATGACCTTGAAATTAGTACTAAAAAATTTCATGTTTGAACTTAAATGATTAAGAAGGTCTTTATGTTTTCACACAAATACAAAAACAAAAGTGGTCTGGTGATTAGAACACTGGACTCATAATCTGTAGGTTGTGAGATCGAAACCTATTGTTGAACATGCTGTCTTTCAGTAATGGTGGTATTATAATGTTAAAGTCAATCCCACTGTTCATTCCTTGTAAAAGTAGCCCAAGAGATGGCAGTGGGTAGTGTTGATTAGCCTCCTGTCCCATGGTCTAAGACTTCAAAGTTAAGGATGGCTAGTGAAGATAGCTGTCATCTAGTTTTTTGTGTAGTTCAACAAAACAAAAAAAGATGATTAAGGTAGCAAATAGTTTCAAGATTTAATCAAAAATAATCCAACGTGTAAAGGTTTAGAAAAATTCTATTCTGTTCCCAATGGGACAGCAGTATGCTTATGAACTTACGATTCCAAAATCCAAGGTTTGATTCCTTGTAAAGGACAGAGCACAGTGTAGTTTCATGTTAAAACAGACTTTCTCATTGATAATGAAATATGTTTTCACTTAACTGCAGATATTAGACCTGAAATAGTATATTTATTGAGTGTGAAGATTTATTTAGAGTAATATGTTGTTTGTTTTTGCTTTTTATGAAATGAAGTGAACCACGTTATTTAAATAATGAAAATATTACTTCATATATTTAGGAAGAGTAATTAGAAACCCCATTAGAAATATGAGAAAATAGATATTTCACACACCATGTGATAGAATACAAGCATTACCTTTAAAAAAAAAGTCAAATGGAAATAGTAGTCTCATGAAAGAAACTGTCATTATAAAGATGTTGGGTTATAATTGATGTTATGAGTACAGACAAACAAAATATATATATATATATATATTTAAAGACACTTAAGGTAAGCATATTCTAAACCAAAACATTAAAAATAAATTTTCCAATTAGAGTAGAAGCAATAGTTATGAAAAATAAAATTTTAAAAGTATTTTAGATAAAGTATGTAATTGATCACTTTAAAAGGCTTAAGCCCATGTTTTAAAAGACATTTAATAAAGACTAACCAAAAGTTTTGGTTCCAAACAGATTAAATTCAAGTAAATATATGGATAATGTATCATTATTTCAAAGCTCCTTAACATAACCTCTAAGATGCAAGTGATAGTAACTTGAAAATGCCTTTTTCAAGACCATACTAATGTATATGTGACTGTAGTTAAAATAACAAAAATGAATTAATTAGAAAATGAAATTACTTCAAAAAGACAGTTATAAAAATTAATTGTTGAACTATTATTATAAAAATACTAAAATCTAAACTGATTCAAGTGAGATGTGTTGATCTTTTAGAAGTGTAATTCTTACAGAGCAAAAATTTAATTTACACTAAAGTAATTTTAATTCATGAATAAAGGAACATTTTCTTAGAAAGGCAGTTTTTTGTACAAAGTATAAATAAATTTATTGTTTTCTAAAACCATTATGTCTTAACTTATTTACACTGTTGTTTGCAATAGATTACACATTGTTCTTGATCTGTGTAAACTGAGAACAGTAGGTTAAATAGCAAATTAACTCTCATTTTGCAATAGAACTTAGTTTATTTGACATTATGGTCGTAAATATAAGTATTGTAATTTATAATTATTCTATTTTGCTGTCTCAAAGGAAAACACAAACAGATTTTTCCCTTTATAATAGATGTCTTAATAGAGATATGATGCTTAAAAAATGAATTTCCACATAAATGACATCAAAATTTCCTTCATACCAGTATTGAATTTTCAAAATAAATTTGAAGTTAATCTAATTCATCAATTATATTGTTTTTGAAAAGTGATATTTTTATAATAGCATTATGGCCATATTTTCTGTATTTAATAATACATACTTTTATTTTTGTATGTATCATTGAAGTCAGATTTTGTCCCTTTTAGTGTTCAAGGTGGAATGGTAAAGTATGGGAAGATAATCACTGTGAAGTGGAGTTTGTATTCACAAAACAGGTTAACTGTAGGATATTTTCCCTAGGATTCTATGGGTAAGTTATTTTCTTCTGTAAGTCATGGAAACATGGAATATTTTTCTGTGTGTGTATATGTGTATATTTTAGAGTTTATTATTCCTTTTTTTGTGGTACGTATGCCTCATATTGAATTGTGCTGCAATTATGTGACCTAAACTATATTAGTATTATAATTATGCTTTGATTTTCAATTAAAAATGATTATATTTTTGCCTGCTGATTGTTTCTGACTATTTGAGGATTTCAAACCTCTTTTCAATTTTTTGTGTTCATTGTTAATCTTTATTCTTAATTATTCCTTCTTTGATTCTTGCATTTTGTATATAAATTTGACAAAGTATTGGGAGAGAAATACATAAAGGGAAACCTAAAATCAGGTTTGACCCATCTTTGTTTAATATGAGTTCAGAAAATATCAAACAAATTAATGAAAATTATGAAACTGTCCACGAGTAGTTTTCAACTTCTCCTGTTATACCAAGATTTATTTTGGTTGTGACAAGTTGGGGCTGACCACTTCTTGGCCAGTTTGAGGATAGTGTTGTTTAGTGTATATCTTTATTAACTTTTAAGATTCCTTTTATGAGGATAGTGCAAAAATGATTATTTTATGGTAGAAATCAGCCTATAATGATGTTTAAATATTGGTTCATCCTTTGCTGTTATGACAGTTTTGACTCTTTCTCATATTCCAGTGGTTAGTGTGTCAAACTGTAAAGGTTGTGATTCATTCTTCATGACCTGTTATCACCAAGAACAAAATTGTGCTCCACACTTTGTAGCACTGAGTAAGTTATAAGAGTGACAGCCAAATCCTACTTTTTGGTATGTAAATCTTGGTAAAGAGTAGCTCAAGATTTGATAGTGGTTGATGTATTGTCTAGTTACCTTCCCAAATCTATCACTTCAAAATTAGGAACAGCTAGCACAGATAGCCCTCACATAGCTTTGTTGTGAAATCCAACAAACAAATAAACCTGTCAACCCTTCTTCATTACGAAAACAGTATTTTCTACATAACATCATTGTGAAAATCTTTCAGTGATCGCATAGTTTGGATACAATACCTTACCTCTACTTAGATAATAGCTTTTTTTTTTATTTATGCTGTCCGCTATATGTGGAAGATTTGCTCACCACTAGCCTTGCACTACCACCAACCCTCACATTGGAATAGCTGCACTGTAGCATGCAACAACCTTCCACCAATAGGAGTGTGACACACCCTCCTAGCACAACTGACTCCCACTATACTGTAGAGCATTATCATCACTTTTCAATTTGGCATTCCAATGTGCATTTCTGCTCAAATTTTGCTCTCTCTCTTTATAATTCTATTGGGCACTTTCAGTTAATCCTCAGTTTTGACAACTCTTTGTTTGTTGTCACTTGCTTGTGACTTAATGTTTGTGGAATGTTCTTTTTTTTTTTCATTTCCACATTATGAATTATGAATTTACTATTACGACAACAACCTCTTATGTATCCAGCCACTACTGATCCACTACTGAATACTAATTATGTGGAAGAGGTTTCAGCCATGGTGTGTCAGGAGTTGGAAACTATTTTGATTTTTGCTATTCCTCTGCAGCCTTGGCCAGATCTCCAATTCCCAGGGAATTCTGTTGTGGACAAAGAGGATTTGGACAACCTTTACCCATGGCCAGTCTTTGTAGTACCATTCTTTGCTACCCCTTTTGAGGACCCTCATCCATTGTTGGACGTTTTTGGACATGATTTCCCAGATATGTTACCTATTGTTTTATGGTTCCTTCCCTCTTCCCCATGTTTGTCTTAGCTTATCATAAGGTAGAAGTTCCATTTTTAGATTTTCAGATCTTGGAATATCTGATTCAGGCCTGAAGTTCCAACGCCGAGACTATACTACGATTTTCTCCAGCTCAGTTTTCCTGTATACGTTTCACCCTCACTACTGTCTTCCATTATCTCTCTTCCATTCACCTCCTTTTTGAGGTTATCCACCATTCACTTGAGAGTTTTTCAGCAGATACCCTTAAATATTTTCTTTATATTTCTCAACCTTACCACTTCATACTTGGCTTTTTTTGTTGTTGGGATTTCCTTGGTAGGGACACCCTTTTGTCTCACATGCATCTACCTGCTTCCTATATGGGAATGCTCCATCTTGTCCTTATTTTTACAACAGTTGGTTTCTGGGGATCTTCTTGATACTTTGGAGACTCGGGTGGAGGCTGCATGTCAGCAATCCTCCCTTTCCTCTGGTTTCTCGTCTTTCCCATACCTTTTTTACCCCATTCCTGTGTCTTGTTCCATTACCAGTACCACCTTTCCAGGTTTATACAGCAATTCATTATATTGTCCATCATCATGGTTTCCAACATTAGTTGCATTGTTGACTACTTATTTGGTTTGGACACTGTGGGGTCACAGTTAGCCAGAATTGCTCACCTGTGACATCTGTTTGCTACAGAACCCTGAGTTCTTTGAGTTTTAACAGAAGGATTTTCCATTTGTTTTTCTATCCTCCACCATTATCTCCACAAAACATTGCTTTTTTTCCTCTTTCACAGGATCCCATTTCATGCCAGTTTTGCACAAGGATGCTGTCAAACAGGTACTTCTCACTTCTCCAAGATATTATTCCCAGTTCATAGTTCCCAAGAAAACCAGAGATTGGCATCCTATCATTGATCTTTCCAACCTCAACCATTTCATCCTCCCATGGCTCATGATGGAGTCTTTCCTTATCCTTTGTTGGTTGTTCACTCCAGATCTTTGGATGACCAAGGTAAATGTCTTGGATGCTTACCGTCATATTGCAATCTATCCAGCATCCAGATGTTACCTTCAGTTTTTTTCATGATATTTCAGTTCTATGCTCTACCTTTCAGCCTGCGTTTGTCTCCATATCTTTTCTTTCTTGTGGTTAGAACCTATGCCTGCCATCTTCACACTCAAGGTTTGCATTTTAGTCATTATTTGGATGACTGGCACCTGTTAGTTCCATCCCAACAAGCCCCTCAAAATCATACTCACTTCCTACTACAAGAAGCAGCTTGTGTGGGATGGCTTGTCAAGTTGGAGAAGTTCTGTCTCACCCCTATGCAGTATTTTATTAATTTGGGGGTGTTTTTTCAACTTCTACCTCAACAGGCCCCAAGCATTGCTTCTTTATATGAGATCAATGGAGCTCTTAGTTTCCAAAGTCAAATCCTCTCCATCTTTACCTGTGTATGAGATTCTGAGGATCTAAGCTTCCATGGAAGCCCTCATACCCTGGGATCATGTACACATGCATGATCAATGGAATCTCATGCAGAATCCCTTGGGCTCTACCATACTCCTTCCTCCTTCTCTACAAGTTAACTTTGCTTGGTGGCTTAACAGAGACAACACTTCATCTTGAGTTCCTCTGTCTCATCACCATTCTGATTTGCACATTTTTACAGATGCTTTTCTTGAAGGGTGGGAAGCATGTCTGAATTCTTAGGAGATTTATATTCATTGGATGGTAGACGAATTTTCCCTTCACATCAATATTTTTGAATTTCTTGCAGTTTGTCGGGCATTGGATCATTTTCTCCACTTACATCAATTGACATGGGATCACCTGTTCCCATTCGCTGGGCTTTCAAATGTTGATCTCCTTTTCTGGGCCCAGTCTCAGCAAATTTATCCACTTGCATGTCCCATCCTTGGTGCTCTAACTCTTCAGGTTAATCAGTTATTTTCTCCTGAAAAGATTCTGCCTATGGAGTGTTCTTTTCCTCCTCAGGTATTTTGGTGGTAATATTACCCATTTGTTACTCCTCTTCTCGATGCATTTGCCACTAATTTCAATACCAAACTGCCCTTCTTTTGGTTTCTAATTCTACATGCTTTGGCAGTAGATGCCTTCAATTAAGATTTGACCAACCTTTATCTTTACACTTATCCTTCTATCCATCTTCTTCCTTGTGTTCTCCTCCTTATCCAAGCCACTCCATGTTAAGTCTTTCTCATCTCCCCATTCTGGCCTGATCAACTGTGGTTTTCACTCCAGAACCATCTTCAGTTGTCTATTCCAACACCTCTTCCACTTTCTGGATCCCTTCTCTGTCAATCTCAGTCCTCCATATTTCATCCCATTGTCACTACACTCTAGCTTCGAGTGCTGCTTTTCTCCTTTCATTCCCAGACGATCCAGACTTTCTACATCGGTAGCCTCCCTTCTCTCTTGATTGGTCTGCCATTCTTCCTTAAATATTTGCTATAAAAATAGTGCATTTTCCAAAGTTTCTCTGTGAACCATGGTTTCTGACTTTTCAACAATGGTTTATCAGTTGCTACCATTGTGGGTTATAGGGTGGCTTTTCATTTATCCCTTTCCATCACAATTTTCCCTCTCCCATAATTTCTCTCCTGTTTTGTTCTTTTTGCTTGATTTGTCCACCCTGTCAAATTTTCCTTTATGTCCTTACCCTTCCTCCAATCGAACCATTGTTCACTTGCTCATTTTATCACCTCTCTCTTACAATGTAGTTTCTTACTCCTCTTTGCAGTTGGATATCGAAGTTCAGATATCTTTCCTCTTTACATCTCTCATATCCTCTGTAATCATACTTATGTTCTCCTTTATCCAGTTCATAGTTTGTTTTTCCAAGAGTGGTTTGTGAAGGAGACATCACCTTCAATCTTATTTCCCTCCCCTCCATCTCTCATTTGTATTTTCATTGTATCCTGATCATCTCCTTTGTCCAGTTTGCGCTTTACATTGTTACGTCACCTGCATTGTTTCCTTTTGTGAATCTCCTTCCTCTTTTTTATATCATGGAATTCTTCATCTACCTGTGACCTATCACCCATCACCCTTACACGATCGA